ACCATCCTAGAAGTAGCGGATGCAGCATGGAAGCAAGTCATCCATGGTGTGGCCAGTCTAAGGAAGGCTGCACTTCACCTCGCTGATACCAGATGCAGAATTTGCTGTCATTTAGAAAGTATTTCCCTCACACACGTTCTCACACGACTACATGTCTAAAACAGGGAAGAAAAAATAAAATAAAATAAAGCAGGGAAGAGAGGGATCATTGTAGGTATACAGAGGGGTTGGAGAAACAGGGCTGGGAAAGAGGAAGACAGAAGAACGAACAAACTGATGTCAAAGTGAGAGCAAGAAAGAACAGGAGGACCAGCTGGGAAGCAGCCCAACAGAAAGGAAAGCCACAGCAGAAAAGGAGTATCGTTCCATTTGAAAAGCTCAGACGTCCAGAAATGCTATTAGAGGGGTAATTCTTAGCAATGACATTACAGAGCCACTCTTCCTGGCTTTGCCAAATATAATTATCAGGTCCTTCTGACATTCCCAGGAGGCAGAGCCATTCCTTTCCCCGGTCCAGAACAAGTGCTGATGGGATTGATCTGACACCGCGGAGGCTGCTGACAACTCAAATGCACTCTCTCACCATGCCACCATGCCACCATGCCACCTCTCTTCCTGTTCTCTTCTTAAAAAAAAAAAAGCCAATGCATTTTAAGATTCTGCCTGCCTGAAAAATTCCTAAAGTATGTATTGTTGATGCATAATAGGGTAGAATTCGATGTTTGATTTTTGTAAAGAGGCTGCAACTGGCATACACAGGGATCAACAGCCCCTCAGCCAGTGCTCCTTTATACAACACGGGACTTTTTATTTTTTTATTTTTATTTTCTTTATTGATTTTTGAGAGAGGGAAAGATAGAAACATCAATGAAAGAACGTCGATTGGCTGCCTCCTGCATGCCCCACACTGGGGATTTGACCCACAACCTGGGCATGTGTCCTGACTGGGAATTGAACCAGCAACCTCTTGGTTCATGGGTCACTGCTCAACCACTGAGCCACACCGGCCGGGCATCACGGAACATTTTTTTTAATAAATGAAATTTGTGGATGCCAACTGTCTAGCAAATAACTGAAGTTCAAGGTAAAGAAATAATCTTTTCTGATCTTTCCAGAACAAAGTCATTGTAGGAGATGGTGACTGATGCACCACCAGCTGCGATGGAGGTGACGATGGCAGAGGCAGCACCTAATGAGTGGGGCGACAGGACCCAGCAGGGAGGGGCTGAAGTATCAGATGAGCAGGTGGAAAAGGCAGAAGTCAGAGCAAAGAGGTTACAGCCAAAGAGATGAGAGGAGGTGCCGGTGTTTGAAGCTGAGTGGAAAGCAATGCACTAGTTTGTGTGTAGGTCTCCCTTAAGACAGGTCAGAGCCAGAAATGCATCCTTTCTTCCTTTCTTTTTTTATCCTCACCCAAGGACATTTTTCGATATTTTGTTCAGATAGAGTGGGAGGGGGAGAGAGAGAGAAACATCGACGTGATAAGGGACACATCAAGTGGTCGCCACCCACACGACCCAACCAGGGCCCAGGGCGGGGGACAAAAAGCAACTGAGATTTGCGCCCTTGGCGGGAACCGAACTCGGGTCTCTCCAGACTGCAGGCCGACGCTCTAACTGCTGAGCCAAACCGGCCAGGGCTCTTCCTTTATTTCAAGAGGCAGCATCTTTCTCTCAGGCACTTAGCTTTAAACTTTACCCCCTCCTCTCCAACAGAAGCAATCAACTGTCAAGGCTGATTCCCCTTCTGCAGTGCCCTTCACATTGGTCTCCCTTGTTTTCACTACAGCCTCCTCTGGGTCCTCCTATCCATCTCATCCTAACCAGGGCCTAACCTTCTTACCTCATCTCCTGGACCCCAGTCTCCTCTAAACTCAGTCTGTCTTCTAATCTTCCTCCTGGAGCACAGTTTTGATCACATTACTGCCCAATATGGAAATCCTCCATGTTCTCATTCTCTCCCAGTTATGTGTCTCATCATCTCGAATCTTCTATGGGACCTTGTATCTCGTGAAGTTCCTCTCCTTTCCAAATCTCCACCTGCCAAAATGCCAACTCTAAAGAGTTAGCTCAATGCCACTTCTTCCCGGAGGCCTTCCTTCAAGTTTCTTAGCTCCTTGCTCTGAGCTACAAATGCACTTGAAGACATGCACTGATCAAGTACCTGACAGTTGTGGACAAGCCTTCCCTCTCCTCCTGGGCTGTGTCCATGCCTTGGCAGGGCAGAGGATGGTGAAGTGTGTCAACACTTATCTGTCAACTTTCTAGAACACCTGCCAAGAAATGGTTATTGCATTTCCATCTCAGGTTAGTAACTGTTTAAAAGTGAAATGAATGGGAATGGAACTGTTCTTGAATAGAAACACTACAAGTACCCTGTAACATGATCTGGCTCTCAGGATATACCAAATCCATGATGTAGCTCAAGGGATGGGGCAGGGGCAGGCAGGTGGGACTACTTTTTTTTTTTTTTTGAGTCAAGAGATCTGGGACTGAGGTTCTGCTTTGCCATTTAACTAGCTAAACTAGCTATGGGCCTGGTGCCAGGTGGTTCTTCTCTGAGCATGATTTCCTCATTTCTGCATGACCTCACAGGATGAAGGATCAAATGAGACACATTTGTGAACTCTACTCCAGTGGTTCTCAATCCCAATTATGTATCATAATCCCCTAAAAAGCTGCCAAAAACTATAGCGGACCAGGCCCCAGCCCAGGTCAACTGAATCAGAATCCTCTGCTAGCAGGACCCAGTGGGATTAATTATTTATAAAATACTGTTTCTAATGCATAGCTAAGGTTAGAAACTACTGTTAGAAACTCATAAATATCACTAACGGTAGAACAAGGTGCTTTAGGCTGCTGGCTTAATTATCCTTGATTTGTTCAGCTAGGAATTAGTTTGATGCTTTTATAGTTCCATTACGTGTGTGAGCATTTTTCATGTTCTACATTGTTGTTTGTGTGCTTAAGTGGTCAATTCTGAGCTAATAATACCCTGCACACTGCTGTACACAAAAATGTACCTAACCGCCTTCTTTTCGAGAATAAGTCAAAACATCTCAGGGTCCTCTAAGACCTTGCTGCCCAGAAGTGTGGTGACCAGACAAGCAGAACTGGAATAACCTGGGTGCTTGTAAGAAATGCAAATTCTCAGGTCCAGCCCCAGAATCTGCATACTAACAAAATTTCCAGATGGATTCATAAGTGAAACAAAGACAAATTTTTCTCAGACCACACCTGTGTTCCTGAGGGAGTGGGTGGGCATGGAAAGTCAAGTTCTGTCTCCCATAAAACATTCAAGTTTGTGACTTTATCCAGGTATTTGTTCACTAAAAGGTCCATTTGGTAACTACTAAGTTAAAAACACAGATTCTTACAAAAGGATCCTTACTTTCTAGTCTAGTCTTCACAGGGTTCCTTTAAATAACAGTTCATCTAAGAGAGTTGAAATATGATAATGTACAAAATAAATCGATTCCCACTTGTTTTATGCAGTGCATAAAAAGAGTATATATGTACCTTACTGAACTTACAGTCCCTAAGACCCAAATTCCAAAATTATGAAGGAGGGAAGCTTAGCTAATGCAGTGAACTACTGACCCATTTCCTTGGACAATTATGATGTTAGTAGTATCCACCCAAGACTATGCAGACCACACTATAGTCAAGGAGTTGTAGCAAATTCTTTTTTTTTTTATCCTCACCCGAGGATATTTTTCGATATTTTGTTCAGATAGAGTGGGAGGGAGAGAGAGAGAGAGAAACATCGACGTGAAAGCGACACATCGAGTGGTTGCCACCCACACGACCCAACCAGGGCCGGGGACAAACTGCAACCAAGGTACGTGCCCTTAGCGGGAACCGAACCCGGTCTCTCCGGACCGCAGGCCGACACTTTAACCGCTGAGCCAAACCGGCCAGGGCTGTTGTAGCAAATTCTGAAATTATCTGGACCAACTCCCTTGTTTTATGGAGAGGAAAGACCACTGCTAAGGATTAAAAGGCGCTACCCAAGATCACAGAGCACTCGAGGCAGAACCAAGCTCCGAATTCAGACCTGACTCCTAGTGCTGCACTCCCTACATAGCTTCTGCCTACCTATTCCTCCTTCCCCACCACATGGCCTTGAAATTCCTTTCTCAGACATTGCTGGCCTTGGCACTTAAAGCCTGTCACTTTGCTCCTGCCAGCTACTGCTGTGCCCAACTCCCAGGGCTGTGTTAGGCTACAGGAGAAGCCATATCACAGATAAACAAAATTATCCACTTATCAATCCATATTTCCAAATACGCTGGTAATGGATTCTTTAAAAAGCCCAATGCTAACTGCGTAATGTAAACTACGCAGCATTACTATTAGCGAAGCACCAGGAGCATGGTGAGGGAAGGATCCCTAGGTGGCTAAAGATTAAAACCAAGGGCAACTGCTAACTCAGTACAAAGCAGGGAGGAAACTACAGAGGGAAGGCCAAAACTGGAGCACAGTGGGGGAGGCAGCACCTTTAAAGAACATACACAGTGTGACTATAAAATTGCACGTCATTTCTTTTAATGAAACAAACATGACAGAATGTAGAAATCTAAATGAACATTTCTCCCTCAAAGTAGCTACATCCTTCGTTCCAACAGCGCTCCCTTTGTTGGAGATATTATTTGAACTCTTCTTTGGGGAAAGACCTTAGAAGGTGGTGTAGGAGCCACACCAGAAATATCTTTTCACAGGTTTGGCTGTGTAAAACCAGAACATCCACACTCAGAGGGCATCACTGAAAAAATGGACAAGGTGCTGCAGGTCTCATGGAGGTCCCCTAAGGACCTCTAGCGAGTGTTGGACGACAGCTTCCCTGGAGAAATGCGAGCCTCCCAGGACAGCCATGTTCATGGGAGGGCATTCATTTGGACAGAAAAGTTCTGCTGTCTATTTAAAAACAAAAAAATCAGCCACACTCCTTTACAGTCACACTTGCAATGGATTAAAAAAAAATTCAACACTCACACATGATTCTTGTATGAATTCTAATTAGAAGACGTTACATTCAGAATGATAGCACACATAGTGATAATTTTCAGAAGACTATAATAGCTTCTTTGCCACGTAAGGGGTAGTACAGAGGGTGCTGCTGTTTGCCTGAACGTATTCTTAAACAAGTGACTGCTACCACTCTAAGTTTCCTAGTTGAAGCTGTTACCGGTTACCCACCACAAGTTCACGGTCCAGACTTTCTTGGCCAACACAAATCAACCACAAGCGAGCCACCCTCACCGTCTTAGGGTGAATTGGGAAAGGGCCGGTTAAATGAGGAAACAGGCCACTCCTTGGTAAAAGTTTGTAGTTTTCTTTCCCAATACATCTTCTTTTTATTGAGAACTTCCATTTTTATCCTGTGTTCCTCCTCTGCCATCTCACACTCGCGCTCTATCTGCTGGATTTTGGCCACATGCACCTCATTCATCTGTATCAGCTGCAGCTGTAAGACGGACATTTGTTCATGGTGTTCTTCCTCACGCATCTTTTTTAAAGCACCTTCCTGAGAGGTTTTGCTCCTGTAGTTTTTATTGGCTGTTATTCTGACAGCTGAACACGAGGGTTCAGGTTGAGAGGTCCCCTCACATACTGGAAAATGTATGAACTCTTTCTCATCATCGCACAGTTCTCTATTTGAAACAGCAAATGATTCTGAAAAACAGTAGCAGAAAACATACGTTCAAAGATTTTACAGTCAGAGAGTAAACCATCCTATGTCAAAGACAGGGTCCCCCATTACAGATGGATCTGAAGTAGCATCTGCTTTGGCCTTCATATCCAGGTACCTTTGCCACACCTGACTTTTTAAAAACCCATAAATCCAAAGCCCTTTTCCCTTGAGAAGGAATGATACAGTGTTTCATCAAGTCATTGCTAGAACTGTGGACTATGGGAACAGCGTCCAGAGACTGCTTATCAAGAATCGGTGACTTTGTTACATTGATACAAGTTCTAAACTGAAGTGTGCAGAGTTCCAAAAGAGATGACCACAGCACCAGGCCAACAGTGGGTTTTTACATTACGTTCTCCATCAGTCTGATCTCCCTTGCTCACTTTCTCATTCTGCCACAAACACAAGCTCCACATCCATGGGGTGCCCCGCTCCGTTTCCTGGTCACTACCCTTCTCCTCGATAGTTATCTCATAAACGTTCCTCCTTGAAAAATGAGCCTACACTCCCTGATTTAACTTCCTCAGCAAGCCATTTCTCTTCAATCCCCTACAGCCGGCAGTGCCACCTGGGGGTAAATATGCACATCCAAAGACATTTTTCAATGTCCCTCTTAGGTCACCTCTCTGTAGCACTTGACAATACTTTTTGAATTTTCTTTTCTTCTAGTGCCTTTTCCTAAATTTTCTGCGGCTTCCTCTCCAATTGCTTCTTCTCCAGTCTCCTTTCAGGACTCAGACTCTTGCTCCACCTTTAATACTCCCCTGAGGTTCTTCTCTTTGGCTGTTTTCAATCTGTCCTAAGTAACCCTCATAATCTGGTTCTAACCTTCCTTTATCTTTCTCGCCTTTGTCTTCAAAATACCCTGTGCACCCTTCAATTACCACAAACTACTCCCATTCTTAAAGGCCATGTTTTGTTTCTTTTTAGAATTCTAACTCACTGTCCCTTCAGCCTGAAGTTGGGCTTACTATCTGTCCCCGCAAGTCACTCACACTCACTCCAACCTCCCCCCTAATCCCTTCTCACTCAGGATCCATGCCGCTGCTCTGGAAACCTCAGCTCTGTCCTTCTTCCATACGCCCTCTTCTGTTACAGCACTAGCACAGACAGGGCGGGCAAACGCAGGTTTACGGTGGTTCATATGGAAAATATAATAATAAAGAATAAAGACTAAGAATAAACTCTGTTTCATGTACTCACAACTGCAAACCTACTTCTGTCCCACACTATCTATACTAGTATTATTTTGGGACCGTGCCTTATTCATTTCCGTTTCTTTTATCCTTGGGACCAATGACTTTGCCTGGTACACAGTGGACATCTGGTAAATATTTATTGTCTGAAGCCTTGAACAAAAGGGGGAAAGAGCATATGATACAAATAATGCCATTGCCTGCCTGGTGTGGCTCAGTGGTTGACCATCGACCCATGCACCAAGAGGTCACTGGTTTGATTCCCGGTCAGGGCACATGCCCAGGTTGTGGGCCTGATCCCCAATGGGGGGAATGCAGGAGGTGGACAATCAATGTTCTCTCTCATTGATGTTTTTATCTCTCTCCCCTCTCCCTTCTTCTCTTTCTAAAATCAATAAAGAAAAAACCCGAAATGATGCCATTTTGGGTGGTGCCACGTTTACACCACTGTTTTCATAGGGCAGTGACATGACTATCAGTGAGGGAGTTTCAATGAGGAAATTACTAATTCCACTAACCCATGGAGTCTCCTAGCTGTGATTCCAAGGCTTTCTTGGGAAGCTTTACACTCCTAATAATGAGAATCGTCTCCCTGGAGTAAAATATTATCAATTTATTCACAAGAGTTGATTACATTATATGTCCACTCCATTATTCCAGAAAACAGGATGCTGGGCATGTTAATGGCTACTGGAGGAAACCTAACTCATAATACTCTGTTAATAAAATGAAAATGGCTACTGTTTAAGGTTATTTCACTCCAAGGTAACAAGCATAACTAGTCCCTAACCACGAATAAAGAAAAAGTAAAGCCCTTGCTGGTTTGGCTCAGCGGTTAGTGCGTCGGCCTGTGGTCCAGAGAGACCCAGGTTCGGTTCCCGCTAAGGGCACGTACCTCAGTTGCAGTTTGTCCCCGGCCCTGGTTGGTCGTGTGGATGAAAACCACTCGATATATCCCTTTCACGACAATGTTTCTCTCTCTCCCTCCCCCTCTATCTGAACAAAAAATGGAAAAATGTCCTTGGGTGAGGATAAAAAAAAAAAAAAAAGAAAGAAAAAGTAAAAATTTTACTTTTGAAAGAGAAGGTTGAACAGAGTACTTCTGTGTCATCAGAGACAATAAAAATGTCTCACTGGGAATCTTTCTCAACCAACGCCAGTGGCTCTGGCCTCTACTAGATGTCCCTCCTTCATGCACTGCCTCCTGAGCCTACGTCTGGCACAGCACTTGTTAAAGCTGGTGATTTAACTGCCTCCCCTTCAGGTCTTTGAATACTTTGAAGACAGTGACTAGCTTTGATTCATCCTCAAAGAAGCCAGCACAGGGCCTGGTACACTGCTGGGCCTGTGCGAAACGTGAGGGTGATGACCTGGCTGCAGTAGGTCACATTCCTCCCAACACAGCACAGCTAGGCGGAAAGCGCAGTGTTCCAAGTGGACAGCCGGGGCTCAGGGCAAAGCGATGGAAATGCTTAACACTAAGATAGGGTTCCTCAGATGTGAGCATCAGCTGTAAAGAGGATTATCTCATCTGTTTCCTTTCTAGTCTTAGATCTGAAAGTGCCTTCTTTGAAGACTGGACACAGATCTTTGTTGGTACCTTTAGCCTCTTTCCTCTTTTATTTCATTAGAAGATACTCCTGAGTTCATGCCCTCACACTTGCTCCTCAATCCCAATATCTAAATCAGTGGTGGGGAACATCCGACTTGCGGGCCTTATATGGATAAAGCCCTCGAAATAAATTCCAGCGAACATCACACACCTCACCAAAGTAGCCTGACCAAATATAGCAGGCTAATTTTTAAGTTGATAATTTTGTATGGCCCACAAATAATGTTATAAATATCCAAATGGTCACTGGGAGCAAAAAGGTTCCCCACCCCTGATACATGCTCATTTCCATCTCAACAATTCCAGGTTATAGGGACCTGATGATGAAGAAGAAGATGATGAAGATGATGATGACAATGACGACAGCAGCTATTATTTTCTGGGGTGCTAACCAGGCACTAGACTAGTGCTTCACAGGCACTGCCTCATTTAACCCTTACAACAACCCTCTGAAGAGATATTATAATAGAAAACCAAACACAACATCCAAAGCCATTTAGCTAGTTGAAAGAACCAGGATTCCAATCCAGGTCTTTATCATTTCAAAACCCAAGCTTAACTATTACAACACCTAGCCTCTCAATATTTCATTTGCTCAGCTGATTACTTATGTATCTCAAAATGCAGCCTCCAAGTTGTATCCACTAATAAGACTATCTATTATTAATATAGATGTATATTCCAAATTTTGATCTCCAAATTTCTCTCTAGAGCTATGAACATGAAGATAGTATGTTCATGTCTGGGAGCACAGAAATGACTGTACCTTGAAACAATTCTTTTTTAGTTTAAATATGTGCTAACATACATATTTTAAAGAAAAATAAAAGCCAGGCCTCTTGAGAAGACTCTAGCAGAAGCTGGGGCTTAAAACTAGAGAAGCCCAATGAGATAGTTAATTAACTTTCACACAAATATTAGCTCCAATGAATGGAAGCTAGTGTTCATATGGGAAGAATCTTCTCTTAATTGGAAAAAGACTACCCTGGGAATGACAACCTGCTGCAAACACACACAATGTAATCTCTCTCCCAGGTAAAACAAAGCCCCCCGAAGCAGAAAACAACTCAATCTTGTGAAAAATGGATATGAAGGAAGGCCCAAGGGCTTTCTGGGACGGGAGAACACAGTCAAGGGAGTGTTCTTTCAGTTGGGCAATCCGAGTAACTTAAATATCAGCAGGGAAAACCTACTATGGCAGTAAAAGAATGGGAAGGAAACTGTGTTCAGGCCAAACCCCAGCTCTTCTCAACAGAACAAAGGAAATAGAACTGACTGGGAGAATGAATGAATAAAGTAGATGCACAATGTAGAATATTATGCATCAACTAAAAGAAACAAAATAGATTTACACACTGTAATGGGAATAGATCCTTAAAACATTATTCTAAGTAAAAAAAAAAAGGTAAGAAAAGGATATCTATAGCACAATTTTTATTCTACTTAAATTAAAAATATATGCACACAAAACAACAATGTATACTTTCAAGAACATGTACGAGAATACACAACCACATTAGAATGATTACAGGAAGGGAGAAGAGAAAGTGCAAAATGGTGATAAAAAAAAAAAAAGGGAATAAAGCCCTGGCCAATTTGGCTCAGCGGTTAGAGCGTCGGCACGTGGACTGGAGAGTCCCAGGTTCGGTTCCCGCTAAGGGCACGTACCTTGGTTACAGTTTATCCCTGGCCCCAGTTGAGGTCGTGTGGGTGGCAGACACTCGATGTATCTCTCTCACATCAAAGTTTCTCTCTCTCTCTTCCTCCCTCTCTCCCTCCCTCTTTATCTGAAGATAAATGCAAAAATGTCCTTGGGTGAGGATTAAAAAAAAAAGGAAATAAATATATCAGTAACTAAAAGGGGTGATGCTAGTGTGACATGACTGGCAATATAACCCACTCCTCTGTACTTGAGTTCTCACCCCAAAAGAATAGAGTTGGATTAAATAGTGATAGTAGTGGAATTTATTAAGGAATGTTTGTGTTATTTAATTATAGCTTTGAGTACCCATATTTGCATTATTCAAATAAAGCTTTATAGTAAATAGCAGCATATGAAATTAAATATAAGTTCTCTTAAGATATCTGAATGCTACCTGAAAGCTTAGTTTGCTTAAATATATTTGACATTAGTCATCCTACCCACCTGACCACTTCCAGCAAGTTTTGTGGTGTCCTTTAGTTTGTTCTACAAATATGTTCCCTAAAGATAATCTCACTTATCTTAATATTGAAAAGTGTCAAAGCCAAATTATCACATATCATAAATCTGCAGAATATGAAGTGTTTTAATATATTTAAGGGGGAAATATGGGTGTTTTGTTGTTGTTTTTTTATAAATACACTCCTAAGTATTAAACTTACATCTTAAAACTACTATGTTCAAATACAGATGTACATTTCAAGAAAGTTGTTGGCAAAGCTGATCGTACCCCTGGTACAGTGATCAAGATGACAAAAGTGAAATCACTCACACACACTCAAATTGTTGGAGAGAGGCCTCTAGTGGAGTACTGCAAGGCTCCATCCTGGTTAACAATTCCAACAATCTCTGAGTACTTAATTCTGCAACAGGTACTCTGCAAGGTGAGAGAACAGTGCCGTCCTATAGAAACCTAATACAAGCTACATGTGTGATTTTGAATTTTCGTATGCCACATTAAAGAAATAAAAAGAGGTGAAACTAATTGTAGTAAAATATTTTTAAATCTTATATTTGTAAAATATTATCTCAACATGTAATTGATACAAAACTTATTAGTAAGAGATTTTACATTCTTTTTTTGGTACTAAGTCTTCAAGATATAGTATGTATATTTATAGCATGTCTCAATTCAGTCTACCCCCATTTCAGGGACTTTCTAGCCTGATCTGGTTTGTAGTTACTGTATTAGACAGCACAGTGCTAGAGATACTAACTAAAGTAACACACACACACACACACACACACACACAGACTCCATGTGTCAAAATACACTTGATGTAATGAAAGCCATAACTCTACTGCATATTTTCAACCTTTCCCCCACTAGGACCCAGAAGGAATGATTGACAATTCCAGCTTTCTTTTTACTTCCTAAAAATAAATTAAATATAAAATGAGCCCTGGCCAGTTTGACTCAGTGGTTAGAGCATTGGTCTGTGGACCAAAGGGTCTCGGGTTCAATTCCAGTCAAGAGCATGTACCTGGGTTGCAGATTCGATCCCTGGCCCCAGTTGGGGTTGAGTGAGAGGCAACCAGTCAATGTGTCTCTCTCACATCGAGGTCTCTCTCTCTCTCTCTCTCTCCCTCCCTCCCTCTCTCTCTAAAAATCAATGGAAAAATATCCTCAGGTGAGGATTAACAAAAATACATACATACAAAATGAGTTGGGTAGCCTCAAAGCTGTTTCAATGTATAGAAAGTGCTCCAGCACCTTAGCTACTTGTGTTAACAGATTACTTTGGACACACTCCCTAACAATGCACCATGGTTCTCCATCACCCTCCAGATTTGGCCTGGAGACACGAACAGGTAGCATTTGGCTATGCTTTAATAATCACTAGCAAAAAGAGAAGTCTCATGTGTCATATATGTACAAACATCAAATTTAATATCAATCTCCTTTACAAGTTAGTGTCTAGCAAATGTCACTACAGGAAGAACACTGAGAATCCATATTTATTCCTTCTTGCTGGAAATTTATAAATTGTGTTTATGAATGCATGAATTATATCACTTCCTCCAAAAAGAAAGAGAAAAACCCTTATGGGATGAACTTTCTAGATCCTACCCTAGAATCTGAAAATGAGGAAATGAGACTGTTCTCTTAGAATAACCCTATGAAATCAATACGCAATCATACAGATCAAAGATTTGCAAAGTGAACTAACAGCAGTCCATACCAGCACCTTCCTGAGCAACATCTATCTCCCAGGGAACATAAGCAAGTTGAAAAGCAGCCCTGCTGATTCCCCTCCCTCCCATTCATTTCACATTCCATTCATTTCACTGCCTCACAGGAAATGAATGGATCCAAGGCCAGCAAGATGGAAAGTAGCTGGCTGAAGTTACAAACATCTCCAAAACAAGGACACTGTCTATTAGTAGTAGGCCCCATCCCCACAAAAGCTACAATGAGAAGGGGCAAGAAAGAGAGCTGACACTGTTTGCTGGAAGGTACTATGCTTGGGACTCTAGAATCAAAATTCAGACATGGGGCTCCTACACTGGAAAATAATGCATGATGTTCAACATTAACCATTATGGTTGCCCAACTGGCTCCCTGGACTTAACCTTGGTCAAATGATCAGCAAGAAAACTTTTGATTATAATTTAGATTCCCAGGATAAGCTGCTTACAGAGGGAAAAAAATGTACTAATCAAAACGTATATTCAGTTCACTTGGTTATTATCTTTTTCACTCTACACAGATAACCTTCTGTGACATTTAATTAACCAGTCCCTCAGAGCTCAATCTACTCTGGGGATGCTAGTAAGTGAATTTCTCAGCCTGCAAGCCACAAATCAGATTTTCCTATTGCTAGGTCCTTAGAGCACCTTATGAGCAGCCTTCTGGCCTTCCCAGGAATTGTTAGGTGTATCTTCTGCAAACTACAATGAGTCTTTCTATAAACTGGCCCTCTTTCTTAAAAGAAGCAGGACAGGCCCTGGCCGGAGTGGCTCAGTGGTTAAAAGAAGCAGGAATTATTGGCAATTTATCTATATGCATTCTTTCACCCTCCTCTTGCCTAGAGACATTTCAACAGCCCCTTAATTCCAACCTTTTAAAGCTGACATAGTATCATTACTTCCTTGATTAAGATAGTCTTTTCCTTCCCTAAGAATTCTATATAACACATTTTTCTCTTTTCAGTGAAAGTTAATTAAAACTAAAAAAAAAATTTTTCCCAGAATTTCTCAAGTTTCCTGGAGTGCCACAAACCAAAACTGTAGCTCACAGATGACAGTGGGTGGAAATGCTGGTTTTTAATCTGGGTGTTTGCTCTGTTAGTCTCACAGCTTTTCTTAAGTCTGAAATAGTTCAGTTTTTTATGTGGCCTTTGGCATGACTTAATGCAGTGTGCTGCACATTATAGGTCCTCAAAAAACACTTTTTTGAAGGGGGAAAAAAAAGATTGAATGAAATAAATCCTCAAACAAATCCACTTCAATATATTTGAGATAGGTTAAGTAACTAAGGTATAAGCAACTAAGGTACTTCATTATTGAAAACTATATTCATGTAGCCCCTCAGTTCTCCTTATTCTTCAGTAATAATAGAGAGAAAGAGATAACACAAGGATATAAACAAGTGTTTTTGTCTTTATGTACTAGGTGACCTGAATGTCCTACGTAAACCAGAGGCTTTGAATTGGGAAACTCAAGTCTGAGATGAGAGATTCTTTCTTATCAAGTCCCTTCGAATTAAGGATTTCGAAATTCAAACATGGAACAGGTGCCCAGTGAGAACATGCAAGCCGGGCTCCGACGCCCATACCTTGGGCTGCGGCCTCAGGGTGGTACTCGGGCTCCTCCTCGGGAGGGCTCTGCAGGAAGTAGAGCTGCTCGGGCAGCATGCCGGCGAGCTTCTCCTTCCCCAGCACGTGGGTGCTCAGAAGCGGGCTGACACTCCGTTTCACTTTCTCTCTCCTCTCATGGGCCATAATTTTTTTGGTCCGGGCCTTGATGTTCTCCCAGCACTTCTTCAGCTGTTTGAAGTCCCGCAGCGACACGCTCGGCTGAGAGTTGTACTCGTGGGCGAGCGCCTGCCAGGTGCGCTGCTTGAGGGCAATAGTCCGCGCATCGCTCTTCTTACATTCCAGCACATACTTGTACTTCTCGACTAAAGCAAGCAAGATGCTCTTTTCCAATTCTGAGAAGTATTTGGCAGGTTTTATAATTTCGTTGTTTTGCATTTTCCACTCTGTTTCTCCTGGCCGTTAGTTATCCTGTAAAAGTAAATTGGAAACAAGCATTAGGAACTCCAGGAACAAAAATGTCAGCAAATCACTTCGACTTATTCCCTGACTTGATTCCCTTGTCTGAAACAGCAGCGTGTTCTTTTCTGTTATTGTTGACTTGTGGTAGTGTCAGGAGAACATTCAGATTACTAGGAATGGGCTTTTACTTCCTAGATGTTTGAGTAGGTCCCGGCCATTCTGAGAATATCGGCAGAAAAAGAACAGTTGAACATCTTTGGTGGAACTTCAATGTGGAACTCTAATTTGTTAATTTATTAATTTCTGCTTCATGTTAGGAAACTGATTTTCCCCAAATTCAGAATGTTAGGCAGCTTTTACACTAAACAGCTTTCCCAAAATTTTGTCACACTGAAGACCGAGAAGCCACAGTATAACCAAATATAACAGACAATATAAACACTGTTGAGATTTCAAAATCAACCAAAACACCTGACATTTCCATCACTATGCCTGTGACCTTGGATACGTCCATGCTCCTAGAGGAAGCTCTTCAGTTTCTTCATCTTTAAAATGAGTGCTTGGAGTCTTTGATCCTTAAGGTCTAAATGCCACTTTTAAGTGTACAATCCGCCCGGCTGGTGTGACTCAGTGGTTGAGGATCGACTCATGCACCAAGCGGTTGCCAGTTCGATTCCCAGTCAGGGCACATGCCCAGGTTGTGGGCCAAATCACCAGTGAGGGGCATGCAGGAGACAGCCAATCGATGTTCTCTCTCACCAATGTTTCCATCTCTCTCTGCCTCTCCCTTCCTTTCTCTCTAAAATCAATAAAGAAAAAAAACATTAAAAAAAAAAAAGTCGCCCTGGCCGGTTTGGCTCAGCAGTTAGAACCTCGGCCTGCAATCCAGAGAGACCCGGGTTCAATTCCCACTAAGGGCACGTACCTCAGTTGCGGTTTGTCCCCGGCCCTGGTTGGGTTGTGCAGGTGGCAAACACTCGATGTGTCCCTTTTGATGTGTCCCTTTCTCGTCGATGTTTCTCTCTCTTCTCTCCCTCCCACTCTATCTGAACAAAATATCAAAAAATGTCCTTGGGTGAGGATTAAAAAAAAAAAGTGTACAATCCGCCCTGGCCAGTTTGCTCAGTGGTTAGAGTGTCAGCCCACAAACCAGAGAGTCACAGGTTCGGTTCTAGTCGAGGGCATGTACTTCAGTTGCGGTTCAGCACCTAGCCCTGGTTGAGCTCATGCAGGAGACAACCAATCACGGTGTCTCTCCCACATCGGTGTTTCTCTCTCTCTCTCTCCCTCCTTCACATTCTATCTGAAGATAAATGGAGAAATAACCTTGGGTGAGGATTTAAAAAAATAAAAAATAAAAGTGTACAAACCTATGTAAATATATAATTTCAGAGCTGAAAGGGCCTGGGCATTTAGAGATTGATTCCAACACCTCTTTTTTCTGTCATTTCTTTCTGGACATTTCATACAAATGGAATCATATAATATGAGGTGTACTATGACTGGCTTCATTCACTTAGCACAGTGATTTTCAAGCTTTTTCATCTCATGGAACACATAAACTAATTACTAACATTCTGCGGCACACCAAAAAATGTTATATTTTTTGCTGATCTGGACAGCTAATGTTGTGTTGGCTGTTGTCACTTTTTTATTTGACAGTCTAAGGGAAAAGAGGTCAGTGATTCTGACTAAATAGTTAGACATTGCATGTTTTAAAAATTCTTGCAGCCCACCATTGTGCCTGCTGTGGCATAGTAGTTGAAAATTGCTGACAGCATCATGTACTCAAGGTATATCTACCCAGTATCATGTATTAATACTTCGTTACTTTTTGTTGCCAAATGATAATCCATTTTATGGATGTAGCACATTCCATTTATCCATTAATGAATTTTTATTAAGATATAATTGATATACAACATTATAACAGTTTCAGATGTACAACATAATGATTTGACATATATATATACATACATATGTATATATATAGCCAAATCACAATAACTCTAGTTAACATCCATCAAACTACATAGCAACAATTTTTTCTTGTAATGAGAACTTTTAAGATCTATTCTCTTAGCAACTTTCAAATAACCAATACATTACTAACTACAGTCACCATGCTGTACATTACATGCCTAGGACTTAACTATTTTATTACCAGAAGTTTGTGCTTTTTGACCATCTTCACCCATTTTGCCCACACTCCACCTCCTGTCTCTGGCAACCACCAATCTGTTCTCTGTATCTATGAATTTGTGTGTGTGTGTGTGTGTGTAATATTCCACATATAGCCCAGACGGTGTAGCTCAGTGATTGAGCATCAACCCACGCACCAAGAGGTTGCCAGTTCAATTTATGGTCAGGGCACATGCCCAGGTTGTGGGCCCAATCCCCAGTGGGGGGCATGCAGGAGGCAGCCAACCATGTTTTCCCTCATCGATGTTATCTCTCTCTCCCTCTCCCTTTCTCTCTCTCTAAAAATCAATAAAGAAAAAAAATTATAATAAATAAATAAAACTGACCAACCCATATCAAAAGACTTAGAAACTAACTTGAAAGGAGTTCCATTGGCCAAACACAGGACACCTGAACATCAACAATGGTGATGAGTTCAAGAGATACATTAACCCTGGCTGGTTTGGCTCAGCTGTTAGAGCACCCACCCATGGACGGAAGAGTCATGGGTTTGATTCCGGTCAAGGACACATACCTCAGTTGCGATTTGGTCCCCAGCCCTGGTTGGGATCGTGCATGAATGTGTCTTTCTCATATGGATATATTTCTCTCTCTTTCTCTCTCTCCTTCTCTTCCTTCCTCCCTCCCTCCCTCGCACTCTATCTGAAGATAAATAGAAAATACCCTTGGTTGAGGATTAAAAAACAAAAACAAAGATACATTAAATTATTCTCTGGATCTTTGTGCATGTTAGAAAAGTTCCATAATAAAAAGTTAGGTGGGGGGAGGGGGGAGGCTGTGGTCTTTAAATTTATGGTACACCTCAATTTAAAATCACACCTTTGGGTGAGAGTAGGGAGGAGGGAGTGGGGGGGGGAGAAGCATCTGTAATACATTCAACAATAAAGATAAGTTTTAAAAAAATAAAATAAAATCACACCTTTACAAGCAGCTATTCACATACTATGCCTGGGGAGGGGTTACTATTATGTCAATAGCTGAAATCTGTTAGACCTGAGGCTGGAGGGAACTAGGCCAGAGCAGAGAGCCTTGAGATTGAGACCAAGGAGTGTGGGCTTTACATGAGGGCAATGGAAGCTGACCAGGGTCTCCCACTCGGCACCAACTCCTCCCAGAAGTTAAGGGGAGGTGAAGTACTATTGGGATAAGTGTCTCCACATACCAGGTATCCTGTCTCACATTCATTGTAGGCAGATCCAGTATCAGAAATTGAGAGATTTAGATACATGTCAACTGTAGTTTGGCCCTCTGGTCTTGGGCAAAACTAAATGAATGAGCCCTGGCCGGTTTGGTTCAGCGGTTAGAGCGTCGGCCTGCGGTCCAGAGAGACCCGGGTTCGGTTCCCGCTAAGGGGCGCGTACCTCGGTTGCAGTTTGTCCCCGGCCCTGGTTGGTTGTGCGGGTGGCAGCCACTCGATGTGTTCCTTTCACATCGATGTTTCTCTCTCTCTCTCTGTTCCTCTCTCTCCCTCCCGCTCTGTCTGAACAAAAAATGAAAAAATGTCCTCGGGTGAGGATAAAAAAAAAGAAAAAAAAAAAAAAAAAAAAACTAAATGAATGAAAAATTATCTTTGGAGATGTGTCCCTGTATCCCTAAATTCCCAGGCCTTCAATCATATTGCTCTACTGTTTCTACAATGACCTAATCCAGGCCCCAAAGGAAGTATCCAAAAGATCCAAAATTAATTTTTTGCCTTCATCAATACTCCTGTTTCCTGTAAATCAGTGTTCCCCAAACTGAAATTTGTTAACACACATCCCCTACAATATTATCTCTTCTGTATTCTCTCTCTCCACCAAGATGTTTATGACTAACTTTACTTTCTATAGTTTTTATTATGAAATCAATAGGTATACTGAATATTCTTAAACTACCAGCTCCCAGAGCAGATTCTGATCTGATCCCTCATCCCAACTCCTCTGTCCCAGGACATGGCAATATGCCTACCTTTCCTCATGCCACCACTCTTTTTAAGGGTTGAGAATCTGGTTCACAAGTGAAAAAGGAACTGTTTCCTGTTTTGTTCTAGTATATGTAACGCCATTTTATATTTTTATAAGTACATAATATATATTTATAAATATTTATATTATATATAATTTTCTCTTTATTTCTTTCTTTCTTTTTTTTTTAATCCTCATCCGAGGACATTTTTCCATTTTTTGTACAGACAGAGTGGGAGGGAGAGAGAGGAAGAGAGAGAGAGGGAAACATCGATGTGAAAGGGACACATCGAGTGGTCGCCACCCACACGACCAACCAGGGCCGGGGACAAACTGCAACCGAGGTACATGCCCCTAGCGGGAACCGAACCCTGGTCTCTCCGGACCGCAGGTGGACGCTCTAACCGCTGAGCCAAACCGGCCAGGGCTATTACTTTTTTATTCTTGTTACCTGCTTCATTTTTTATTGTTGAAAGTATTAGATGTTCCTCCCTTTTTCCCCCATTGACCCCTTCTTCCCCACTCCCACCCCACATCTTTTTTTTTTTTTTCTTTATTGATTTTAGAGAGAGAGGAAAGGAGAGGGAGAGAAATAGAAACATAGCTGAGAGAGAACATTGACTGGCTGCTTCCTGCATGCCCTTCACTGGGAATTTGGCCCATAACCTGGGTATGTGCTCTGACCAGGAATCGAACCGGCGAACTCTTGGTGCTCAACCATTGAGCCACACTGGCCTGGCTCACCCCACATCTTTAATTATTTCTTCAAGATAAATTCCTAGAGGAGTAATGGTTGCCACAAAAGATGCAAACACTTAGGACTTTTGTTACATCACCATCTGTCCTCCAGAAATGGTGTACCAATTTACATTCCCACTAATAGCACATGAGCATGGCTGTTTCTACACTTCATTTACTCTTGCTGTTAACATTTGTAAAAAATCTGTGTCAACTGCGGAGGTGAAAATGCCACTTTGTTGTTTAGTGATACATGAATTCCAGCAAATAAGCCACACTGTGACTGAACCAAGTCCTGGTTATACTTGGAATTCAAACTACCTGCAATTTAATAATTCATCACAATGTGCGCAGTACCACTAGCTGCCACCAGGTGGTGGTGGGCTCACAGGGAGTCTAAATTCACAAAAGATCTTCCCCTAGGTGTGGCCAGTTGAGTCTCTAATAACTGCAATAATAATAGCAGATAACTTTTATTGAACCTTACACGGTAGGTTAGACCCTACACTAAGTGTCTAATATGCAGTATATCATTTAATCCTCCCCAAAACAGCTCCTGAGAGCATCATTTGTTACACTACAATATTTTCTGTTAAAAAAAAACTTTATTAAAGTAGCAGAAGAAATTATACAACTGTTCTCAAAAGCAAATACTCAGAATTACCAACACCTGGGGACCATTAATAGCCTATTAACTAAACTGTTATTTAATCACTAGCTAAGTAAATCCAGAGTTACCAATTTACTTTGCTTAATTTTGTAGAACAGCGGGTGTCCCTGGGCCATGTGGTTGCACTATACAGGGCTATAAAGGGATTCTGGTACCTCAAAGGCTCCTATGGATTCCCAGCAACCTCAGAAGTAGGCTGTCTATCCCCATTAACCAATTATTATTCCTATTTGCCAGATCAGAAAAGTGACCCTCAGTGACTTGCCAGTGGTCACACAAATAGTAAGTGGAAGAACCAGGATTCCAACCCAGGTCTTCCTCCAATGCCCTTACTGCCCTCTGCTCTGCTTAGCGTTTTCCTTTCAGACCTAGTGACAGCCTCTAGTGCCTTTGCTCAAATTACATGTCAAATTACAGAGCAATCTAATTGTCATCAGGTAAAGGTCCCAGGGCAGAGCAGCTAAGGGGGAGCTGTGCCTGCTGCTGTCTGGCTCCATTTGGTGGCTCTTCCTCTCTCCTCCCCTCCCCATCAGCTCCTCCCTTTAAATCTCAAACCTAAGGCCCTTAGTGCCTCACTTCCCACCCTCACCCAGGCGTACCTCTCTCACTCCAACCTGAGCTCTGAAATAATTTCCGCTGTTGATCTGGTAAGAATGTATGTTTGAAAGTAACTGTAGAGATAATATGGAGCTTTAAAATGGTCCACCTCTCAAGGGAACGCTGACATTCTGCTTGATCACCTGATGGACAGTCCTAAGTAAACACACACTTCCCAAAGAGATCTCCAGGAGAAGTTAATAATAGAAAACTGAAGGCTAGAAAGCACATTCTAGCTTAAAACTACTCAGCAATGTCCGTAATTGGTTATAGATGACAATATAACAAGCCTTCCCTGCTGTATCAGCTTTTATGAGAGAGACTGGCCTTACCTGCCCCACAGCCCTGCTCAGTTCAGGTCATCTGTTCTGTCTGCAGTTCTGCTAGCCATTCCCACGCATGGCTGTAGTCCAACAAGCAGCTCAGTGACCCTCATACAGTGGGCCTTCGGCAAACTTTTAATGAATGACTACATTCTAATAGAGGCATAAAACAGCCTACTAGGCACAAAATGAGTACCGTGGATGATAAAACAGTACAGTAAAAACTGCATTAAAGTAAAACTGGTCAAATAAAATAGCAGAATCCAAATGCAATGGAAGCTCCCCCTTGGACTAGGCAAAGACCCATAGACAGGGCTAAATAATAGAGCACAATTCCAATACAATAAAAGAACAAAAAGTAAAAAATCAGCGCAATTCCCAAAACACTAACATTGACTAAACCACCAGAATATTGCAATAAGTACATTTAATATCCACCTAATACAAAAATCCATCAAACGTTTGTAAACCTCCCCCCCCCCAATTCAGATATTGAAGCCCTCACCCCCACCCATGGTGGCTGTATTTGGAGATTGGGCCTCTAAGGAAGTATTTAAGGTTAACTGAGGTCTTAAGGCTGGTTGGAGTTTAACGCTCTTGTAAGAAGAGACACCAGAGAGCTTGCTCTACCCCCTATCCTCCCAGGGCTCAGAAAGAGGCCATGTGAGCACCCAGAGAGATGGCAGCCACCTCCTAGCCAAGAGAAGAGGCCTCAGAATGACGTCTACCTTGTAGGCACCTTGATCAGGGAGTTTTTAGCCTCCAGAAATGTGAGGAATACATTTCTGTTGGTTAAGCCACCTAGTCTGTAGTATTTTGTTATGGCAGCCTGAGCTGACTAACACACCATCTAATGATATTTTAACCCATGAAGGGTCAATCTAAGTCTCAAAATTTGAGCAACGACTAGAGAAACTTGTGCAGATTTTACTTCTACTTCCCTTCCTGGAAAAGGGAGTCTTCTGAAGTCAACACTCAGAATGGGAACCAAGAATGATGTGTGGAAAGATGTCAGGACACTAATGAACTATTGCTATTAAAGTGAAGTGAGATGAACCAAAGAACTGGATACAGAAAACCTGGGCTCAAGTCCCGACTTCAGCACTCACCTAGCTGTGTTACTCTGGGCAAGTCAATTTCTCATCTGCAAAATGGAATGAATACCCCCTGCTCTGCCTTATTCCCTCTGCACAGATGTCCTGCAATGGAAGTAAAGAACAAGCAAAGACTAGAGCTTCAAAAAATTTAGTTCTTTCCACCCCTCCCATCCATATTAAACTGCCTACAGTTGGACAATTATCTTGAGTTTCATCGGAAGAGTAACTGCCTTCCTCTTCTCCTCACCAGAAGCAGCAGACACAGATGGGCATTGTTGTAGACAGGATGGGGTGTCAAAACACAAAATAACAAAATCCAAAAAACACTGGCAACACATACGCAGTAGAGTATTGGTTGTTTACCATGGTGATTGCATGGCTGACAGGGGCCGTGGCTGTCTGCTGCTGTCCAGCATCACGGGAGAGTAACATATCGCAGATCACTAGCTTGAGAAAAGATCAAAATTCAAAATCCCAAGTATGTTTTCTACCAAGTCAACATGGCTTTCACACCATCATAAAGTCAAAATTACCGTAAGTCGAGCCCTGGCTGGTTTAGCTCCAGCAGTTAGAGCGCTGGCCCGCGGACCAGAGAGACCCAGGTGCGGTTCCCACTAAGGGCACGCACCTAGGTTGCAATTTGTCCTCGGCCCCGGTTGGGGTTGTGTGGGTGGCAGCCAGTCGATGTGTCTCTCTTACATCAATGTTTCTCTCTCTCTCTTCTTCTCTCTCTTCCTCCCTCTCTCCCTCCCAATCTATCTGAAGATAAATGCAAAAAATGTCCTCGTGTGAGGGAAAAAAAACAAAACCATAAGTTGAACCATTATAAGCCGGGGACCATCTGTTTACTCAAATACTCATCGATTCTTTTATTTCATAGACACACAATTCAACAAGTATGTAATGAACTCCTGCCAGAGATTCAGGACCTTCCCAAAATATTTGGAAATACAGATACAAGCTGAACCCGATAGCCTGGAAGGTACGCTGGCATGCAGAAACCAATAACTAAAATGGCAGGTATGCTGAAATAGACATCATAATAGAGGACAAAGCAGAGGAGGAAAGAAGTTATTTGCATTCCTCATGAACAAGAGGACATTTGAGCTAGGTCTTGAAGAATTATAGGATATGGCCTGACCAGTGTGGCTCAGTGGAGTGATCGTCGTCCCATGGACTGAGAGGTCCCAGTTCGATTCCCAGTCAGGGCACATGCCCAGGTTGCAGACTCGATACCCAGGGGGTTGAAGCGGGGGGTGCAGGAGGCAGTCGATCAATCTCTCTCTCTCTAAAAAAAAAATCAATAAAAACATTTTTTTTTTTTAAATAATGTATATGAACAGAGAGAGTTGAAGGAGATCATCAAGATAAATAATTGATAAGAAAGGGCCTGGACTCTGAGTGGTGATGATGTTCGTGGAAAGGAGGAGGGGCACACCAGAGACTGTTTCAAAGCATGAAATGACCGGGACATGTGTGTCCACACCAGGGTGTGGGATCAAGCGAAAGCAGAGGCAAAGAGGACACACGAGGATGGACCGAGCACCTAATGTGCAAGCACCGGAGAGAGGACTGGACTGAGGATCTTAGTCCAGTGAAGACACAACACAGTGGACTGTGGATGGGCTGGTGAGAAGGCAGTGTGGTAAGCACAACGACAAAGGCGTGTCCAGGGACACTGCTCCAGGATTGGGGGGATCTAGAATAAGAGCCTTAATTCCTACCAGAATAGACTGGTATTAGAATTAGCACTAGCACAGAACAGGGCCTCAATCTGGGAAAAGACTGAAAGAAGGAAAAGTATACAAAACCAGCGGGTGAGCGGCAGGAAATGTGGCAACCATTCCCTGAGCGGAAGCCTGGCAACAGGTAATCAGTGATCAGTTTGCTCTAAAGAGGTGAAGGGCTATTTCCTATCCCGGTCTGCTGACTCTGACTCCTTACTCAGCATCCCCTCAAACAATCTTTTTGGGGAGCAACATAGATCCTAAGATGTTAAAACTAAAAAGGAACCTCAACCCAATCCTCTCACTTTACAGATGGGGAAACTAAGGCTCAGAGCAAAACAGGGGGCTTCCCAGGGCCCTCGTAACAAAGGAGGGCCTAAAAGTGAAACCTCATCCTTTATTTTAACCCCTGCCCCATATCTCCTCTTTGGAAGCCTCTCACTACCAAGATGCCCTTTTGCTAGGTACCCTCACGCCTTCCCCCACCATCCCATCCGAAAACTCAGAGGCACTGCTCTCAACTCCCAAAACTCATTTTGTGACATCAGGCAAATCCCCTGTCCTCCCTGTCAATGTCTCATCTGTAAATTGTAAAGTTAAAGGAAGTGTCCTCTGAAGTCCCATCCACGGCTGGCCGTCCATGTTAGCACTGCCGCAGCATCAGTCTTTCGGTCACCTAATTTCCACAGCTATGCCAAACACGCATAGATGGTATTTTCTCATTATTTTGATCCCAGTGGAGCTACTAGCCAAGGAAAATGAACACTGCAACAGAACAAAGTGATCTCAGCACTTCAGACGATTTAAGGCCCATGCCCCGGTTTACCTCTGCAGGGTAAGTAGTTCCAGGTGAAATGTCTAAAGCAAGCGATCAGATCTCCTGTTCACTACCGTCACCCCAGCTCCTTGAAGGGTGCCTGGTACACAGCAGGCACTCGGTAAATATCTGTGGAGTATACGTTAAAACTAACCTGCCTGCCATCTGCATTTTTGTTTTTTAATCCTCACCCAAGGACACTTTTGCATTCATCTTCGGATAGAGCGAGAGGGAGAGACGGAGGAAGAGAGAGAGAGAAACATCGATGTGAGAGAGACACATAGAGTGGTTGCCACCCACATGACCCCAACTGGGGCCGGGGACAAACTACAACTGAGGTACATGCCCTTAGAGGGAACCAAACCTGGGACTCTGGTCCGTAGGCTGATGTTCTAACCGCTGAGCCAAACCGGCCAGGGCCCATTTGCATTTTTTACTAGATGTTCTACTATCTTAAATTTCTCCTTTTATAAAGGAGTCATCATAACAAAAATCAATTCCTAACTTTTTGTAAATACTACTGTATTGTATGCCAAGTTTTCAAAAGCCCTACCACGACTCTAACGCCTTCATGATCTCATTGAGTCCTGAGGTAAGAGCAATCAGACATGACTGCACCTGTGCACACACCTGCCCATGCCTGCGCTCAGATGTTCAGACCTGGCTACCCAGGACGGTCACTCACCTGTGTCCTGTCTTCTCTCTTTCCTTCAGAGGGCTCTCCAGCCTGAAACCTCGCACAGAACTGACTTCCTCTAATGCGCTGCCTTCTCTTCCCCTTCACCACCCACTCCAGGCGGTCCTGCAACTTGGAAGTGTTTATTTTTACCATCTGTGTCTGAGTGTGACTGTGAGCAGAACCAGCCTGTGTTTAAGGCAAGAGCTCCCACCTCCGGTCCTTCCACCCCCACAGTTCCCTCTATAAGTCCAGATGCTGGTTCTTGAAAGTTCTGACCCTGCCCTTGCCCTCCCCAACAGCTCCATCCTAAACCATCTCCCCACCTCCACCCCACCTTCTCTGATATTCCCTTGGAATCATTATTGACGTATCCTCCCCAGAAAGTTCTATTAAAACACAGAAAGTCCCCTGTGTAGGTGTTCCACTCCAGCCTGCGTCTAGTCCCTGAGGACGCTCTGCTACTCCCACCACTTCAACAGCCGCCAGCTCTCCAATCTCCGGGACAAGAGCCCCAAGAGCTTACCTCCTACTGCAGCACTCAGAACCCCTCTGCACCGCAACCTAACCATACTCTGACGGGGAGTTTCTGAGGGTTGAACTCCATCGCATTTGTTTCTTTTGCACACAGTAGATCCTCAGTGTTGGTTCAGAGAAAGGAGGGGTGTCAGCCCCATCCTCTCTCTTCAGCACTACACACATTTCCCATTGTCTACCAGCCACTTCAATCTAACTATCCATTATGGGTACCCCAGCAAGCTCCAATTCTCCATAGCTAAAAGAACATTAATTATTACCCTACCCCCACACATCCTGATTTCTGATTTCAGCCACATCAACTTAGCTTCTCCAAGCAGAAACCATAATGTGCTCTTCACTCATACATAACCAATTATCAGGATCTACTGTTTTACCTCAATATCTTTCTTTCCTCTCCCATCCTCACCACCCATGTCTGAGGTCAGGCCCTAGTTTCCCAAAATGACCTCCCAAACTTCCAGCCCCCCTTCCACACAGCTACCAAAGAGATCTTCCTAAAGCACGTTAATCATGCCACAGTCCAGGGTGTACCCCTCTGACTTCTCCCGCACTGGCTCGGTGATAAAGTCCAAACTCCTCACATGACACTTAAAGCCTTTCTAGATCTGGCCCTGAGTACAGTACCCTCTTCACTCCACCCCACTCACCCTCTCCATATATCTCAATCCAGCCAGACCCAACTCACCTTCATGCCCTTGAACGTGCTATGTTTTCCTGCCTTCAAACTTGAGCTTCCTCTGGCTAGAATCCTTCAGTCCAAGGTCCACCAAGGGCTCACTGTCATCCCTCAAGGTCCAACCCCTGTGTAATTCCTGTGAAACCTTCCTCAACTAATGCTCAAGCTGTTATGTTTATTATATTTATAACAGCTTCCTTGTCAAGTGAGTTTGAGGCAGCTTACAAACTATGCCAACACTACAACTAAATTTTTTTGAGAGAGACTATCAAGGCAAAGACAAAACAAGGGTAAAAACAAAGACAGAAGTGAGGAGGTGGTGTAGCGATCAAAACCTCTATCATAAGGTCTCAGCTCATCTTGTTGGAGATAGATTAGCCCTGAGTTTTCTGTCCAGAATGAGTTCGTTACCACTCCGTGAGCTCCCTGCCAATTATATACAACTGTACAGGAGCACTCCCCATATATTTGGTAATTTGCTCTTTGTGTCCATTTCTCATTGGACTGGAACATTCCCAAGAGAATACATAATTTCTGACTCATCTTTGTGTCCCTGGTGTGAAGCATATGACTCAGCACACGACTGGTACTCGGCAGACATTTATTGAATGAATGTCACCTTGGACAGGGAAGAGTACTAGTG